GGAAAAGGACCTGGGGGTACTCATTGACAGCCGGCTGAATATGAGTCAGCAGTGTGCCCAGATGGCCCAGAAGGCCAATGGCACATCCTGGCTTGTATCAGGAATAGTGTGGCCAGCAGGGGTAGGGAAGGGGACGGGGCCCGGTACTCGGCTCGGTGCTGGTGAGGCCGCACCTCGAATCCTGTGTTCAGTTTTGGGCCCCTCACTACAAGAAAGATGTTGCATTGCTGGAACATGCCCAGAGGAGAGCAACCAAGCTGGTGAGGGGTCTGGAGCATAAGGCTTATGAGGAGTGGCTGAGGGAACTGGGGTTGTTTAGTCTGGAGAAGAGGAGGCTGAGGGGAGACCTGATCGCCCTCTACAACTGCCTGACAGGAGGCTGTAGCGAGGTGGGGGTCGGCCTCTTCTCCCTGGTAACGGACGATAGGAACAGGGGGAATGGTTTGAAGTTGCGCCAGGGCAGGTTTAGGCTAGACATTAGGAAAAACTTCTTCATAGAAAGGGTTGTCAGCTCTGAAATGGGCTGCCCAGGGAGGTGGTAGAGTCCCCATCCCTAGAGGTATTTAAAAGAAGGATAGATGAGGTGCTTAAGGACATGGTTTAGTGGTGGCATGGCAGGGTTAGGTTGGACTCGATGATCTTAAAGGTCTTTTCCAACCAAAGTGATTCTATGATTCCAGAATACCAGGTGTCAAGAGGGCTTACAAATTCTGGCCTGCTGTGACAGAAATGCATGGAGACAGTTTTGATTTATCACCGTGTCCAAACGTCAGCTCTTGTGCAACCCTAAGTGTCGATAACTGTGTGGCTTTTGTAGCACTTACATCTGCACTTATTACTCCAGCTTGATTTTCTCCATACTGGGCTTGAGATGGGTCCAGAAATCTTCATTGTGTACTGAAACTTATTGCAGAGGCAACTAGGCTATACTGACAAGCAACCAGTGTAGGTCTGGCTGACACTAGCTTCTAGCTTCTCTAGCATCTATAGAAGCTAGTTCCAGACAGTAACAACTGG